TCCGTGACGCTGACCAACAGCGTGGACGAGAGACAGGACCGACAGGAAGACCAAATGGGGGCATGTGGGAAATAAGAGGGATGAAAGAAATCCGTGGCGCTGATCCACACCTACAGCAGTTCAACTCATCCCCGATCTCCGCTCGGCACACCGAGAACCCACCAATCCCATTGTACCACTACCATATCCGCAGAGTGAGTCGACGGAACTACTCTCTTCACCCCTCCCTGACCACCTGTGATCACGTCTCCCCTTATCGGGGAGGGTTGCAACAGATAGCGCAGAACGCCGAACGAACATGACACTGCTTCAGAAGGATCACGTGAAGTCGCTCGTAACAGGAACGGGGAAAGGGCAAAGAAACATACACACATATTGATAGCCTTGGTAGAAGACGCGTGCGGTTTTCTTCTGTTGCTGCTGTTTCTGTCTTCGATCCGAAGGATAGTTTAGCCCCCCCCATGCTGCCCCCAAACGGGGTCCCAGTTCATGGCAGATTGAAGTGTTTTGTGTTTTCAACCGCACTGAGACTGACGTCTTCTTCATTGGTGAGCCGGTTAGCGCGATCGATGCTAATAATAAAAACACACCCATACACTCGTGATGTTTTAAAACGTCACGGACTGCTTCTTGATCAGTTCCCACCACGGCCGATAGGTTGGGATCTCGGTATTTGTGCAGCTAGAAACGACCAGGATGGCAATGACGGGAACTCGTTTGGCAGCGATGAAGGAGGAGGAGACAGAGACCAAAGCAGCAGTAGAGGAGGGACTAATGGGGTGGAAGAGAGCAAGAGCTTCGAGCCAAATGACCTTCCCCACCACAAACGACGCAGGGCTATATAAGAAATGTCGAGAAGTTGCTGTGAAAACGACCATGAGAACGATGGAGTTGGAAGGAAGGAGGAAGACGGTGAAAGCACTCCAAAACGAACTCGACCGCGAGGTAGCAGCCTTCGTATACGTGCGAAGTTTTTTTCTGTTGCTACAGTTTCTGTTTTTGATCCGGAGGATAGGTGAGTCTCCCCCATGCCGCCCCTTCACGGGGTCCCAGTCAACGACATTTACAAAGTATTCTTGGTTTTCACCCGCACTGAGACTGACGTCTCTTCATTGGTCAGTCGGTTAGCGCGGTCGATGCTAACAATTAAAACCCACACATACACGTGTTTTGTGTTTCCAACCGTACTAAGACTGACGTCTTGTCATTCGTCAGCCGGTTAGCGCGGTCGATGCCAATAATAAAGACACACACACACACAACAGATAGCGCCTGCAGAGGAAATTTCTTGGTCTTAGGGTGTGGTCGGCTGTACCGTATAAACGGCATCTCTCACAGCGGCAGCGGCACCGCTTATGGTATGCCTGCCGCAGAGAGCATCCGCACTTGTGACTCGAAAGGCAGCTGACAGCTTCATGCTTAACGTTACACACCAAAAACAAGAAATTTGGGCACCAAAGTACATACATACGATATATTGAGTTAGATAGAAGGCATATACAATAGACTACAGTACTCAGCCAGTGGCTGACTCAGTGGCCTTAGGGTTACGCCTATATCTCACAAAAACAACGGCTACAATACATAACTCGCCTTGTTGATCAAAGACGCGTTGACTGAGTAGTCTAATGGCAACACACCTCTTATCAACTTCGAAGCATCAAACACGACCACTGTAGGGCTACATAGCTTGCTTATCGGGTCGTTGAAAGGTTACACGCCTTTATCCAACAAACAGCAAGAGCTAAATAGCTCGCCTGTTGATCGAAAGCACGCTGACAGAGTAGTCTAATGGTTCCACACCTTCATCCGACAAAAACAACGAGCTACATAGCTCGCCTGTTGATCGAAGGGGCGCTGACAGAGTAAGTCATAATGGTTGCACACCTTAACGAACACAACGAGGGCTACACAGCAAAGCTCGCCTGTTCATCGACGGAGCGGCTCCCGGAGCAGTGTCGCCCCCGAGGCCTTGGAAGGGGGAAGGCTGCCCCCCGGGGCCGGCGTTGGGATCGCCGTCGGCCATCTGCTTGCCCATCCTCGACATGTTCCTCTGCATCGACTGGAACTCCTTGAGGAACGCCTGCCAAAGAGCAGCGGAAAGTTCAGTCATAAGTCATAAACGTGAGATGACAAAGCGCATCGTCTGGAACTCCTTTAGGAATGCCAGACAAAGAGTAGAGGGAAAATACGGCAGTGAGCGCCTCCGATAAAAAACAAGTTTTGAAGAAACAAAAAGGTTCGGATTTCGGCGATAAAAAGAAAAATCGGATAAGTACATACCTGTCTAACGCCTGCCAAAGAGTAAAGTTGAGTCACGAATGTAAGTAAACAAGGCGCATCGTGCCAGGACAGAAGGCAGTAAAGCCAACAAACAAGGTTAGGTAAAGATGGCAACTCTTTGCTTCAAAGTTACGGTACGTGGCATATCACTGCTTCTTCTTTCAGGTGAAACAAAACACATGGCATGCCGTTGGTTCGTAGTTGAGGTACAAACACAAACACATGGCATGCCATTGCTTCTCGCCGGGACGCTAAGAGGATGCTGTTGGTTGCGCAAAACACGAAGTACATTCCAACAACAAAAAATGTCATAACGATGGATAGGAAACGTACAGAAGGCAAGACACACTCACGCTGACGGCGGAGAGCTTGACCCCGGCGTCCCTGGCTATCCTCCTGCACCGCGCCTGAGAGGTCGGGTCAAGGAGGAGCAGCTTGGGGGTTCGCCGTTCCTCCGGTGTCATGAACTTGATCAGCCCCTCTGCCCTCTGCACGCCCTCCTTCTCTCACCGCCCGATCAATTTGATGTCGAAGCGATTTTTTTTTTGCGCACGGGGGGGGG